TTGCTGAAGATCAGAAGAGAGAAATGTCAGGCATTCATGCAAACAGGAATCAAGACCATCAACAATGTCTGTCACTGAGGAAGAGCTGTGTCACCACATGAAAATAGTTGCTCGTGTGCACCCTGAAAACACTGAAGAAAAAGAAGGCAGATGCCATAAAGTGGTCCTTGCTGTGGCCCAGGAACGAGACAGAGATGCCACTCACACCACTTCTCTTCAACCCACCATTGAAAGTTCTAGGCAAAGCAAAGAAACTAGTCAAGAAAAACAAAAGACATCGACTGGAATGTAAGAAGTAAATTTAACTCTGTTCACAGATAATCCCAAATGCAAAAATTGTTTGAATAAATGGATTCAGCAAAGTTGCATGATAAAAAATCAACTTCCAAAATTTATTTGCAGTCAGGCTTCTTGGATGCTGTGATCAGGAGGATCAAGGATTGAGATCAGCCTAGGCAAACAGTCCCATCTCCAAAATAACCAAAGCAAAATGTACTGGCGGTATGCCTCAAGCCGTAGAGTACCTGCTTTGCAAGTGTGAAGCCCTGAGTACAAACCCCTGTCCCAGAAATTAAAAAAAAAACAACTTCCCAATGTGTTCTTTTGTAGAACATCTTTGCAACATATCACCATGGGGAACTTAAGCAAAGGATACATAGGAACTTCTGATTATTTTTACAACTGCATGTGCATGAAAAATTATCTCAAAAATCAAAGTTGAATAAACACATTAACCAAAGATCAAGGGGATACATGATACTGAGTTAACCAAATCCTTTCTTCATCTATGTAAAAGAAAGAAATGTGAACATTTCAATAGGAAATGGTCAATATACCTACAATAGTTTTATGCTAGAATTTTCATTACTGCAAAAAAACAGTTGACATAATCAACTTAAGAAGCATTTGTTTTGGCTCCTAGTGTCAGAGGTTTCAGTCCACCTCTGACTCTGGCTCCTTTGATTCTGGGTCTGTGTGAAGCAGAGCATATGGCAGAGGTTGCTCACCTCAGATAGGAAGTAGAGACAGAGAGGGACCCAGGACAAGGTACAGCCCCAATGATGCACTCCCAGTGACCTACTTCCTCACCTATGTCCACCTCCTGAAGTTTCCGCCACCTCCCAAAATAGTGCCACCAGCCAGGAACCAAGCCTTCAACACATGAGTCTATTGGAAGAGGGACTCTTTATATGCAAACCATAACAAGCTTGGATCTGGAATGTCTTCCAAAGGCCCCTGTGTTAAAGACCTGGTCCCCAGTTTCAGGCACTTTTGGAAGGTGGTGGCAATTTTAATGGATGGAGCCTAGCAGGAGGACTTCCCATCATTGGGGGTGGGTGCGGGAAGAGGATAGAAGGACCCTGGTCTCTTTCTCTTGCATCCCAGGTACAATTTGAGCAGCTTCTTCCATCACAAGCTCTCTACCATGTTGTGTGCCTTGCCATAGGCCCAAAAGCAATGGGGACAGTTGGTCCTAGACAGGAACATCTAAAACTGTGAGGCCTAAAGATAAGCCTTTTCCTTATAAGCTAATTATCCTAAATATTTACTAAAATGATGGAAAGCTAACATGACACCTATATAGGCAATTAAACAGCAGATATTTTGTAAAAACTTTTGTAAATGTCACAGTGCACCCCAGTACAATAATATGCAATAAAAAATCAGAAAGTATCTAGATGATGAAGCAATATATAACACATTTAATTTTCCAAGTAACTAAAATTATATATGAATACAAGATAAAATTTTTATAACAACAAATTTCACATAACTTAAATTTACATGTTCAAACAAAATTTGCTCTATTAAATAAAAGCAATAAAAGAAAATACAGAGTGGGTGGGCGCACAAGGCACATAATGTCAGCAAGCGCTCATGGAAACAAATTGTAAAATCTTTCAGGAAGAAAATCTGGCAGTGTACTTAAATGTGTGACAGTTCTACAAACCCTTGATCCAGCAATTCAAGTTCAAAGAGTTTAAGAAAATAATCTTCAAAGATATAAGTCAAGGATATTAACAATGCAAAAAAGAATCTGAAAATAATATAAATAAGTAGCAAAAGGGGGTTAGTAATATGTATTGAATGAGCTTTAGTTACATATTTTTAAATGTAGTAAATGTAGTAAATACACTGAAGCTATCAGAAACACTACTGAGAGAATATTAACTGGCAAATTCCAGTGTCCAAGGCATATTTCTCAGTGAGGTCAAAACAAGATAGGTGACAAGTTCTATCTGTAATATTCTCTTATGCTAAAATGAGAGCGACAGTGACTGACTTGGAGATTAATGTAGAACTCAAAGGTCTGTTACAAGGCGTTAATCAAACGACATCACTAATTTTCTGCTTAATGGCACCGAGAGCATTTTTCTTTTACCTCTTTGGTGTTTGGCGAGCCTTCTGTTTTTCTTGTAACAAAGTATTTACTTAAGAATAAATTGTCTGTTGGTTCCCAGTACCTGGAATGCGCCTCCCCAGGCCCCGACTGGGAACCTTTGCTCCTTCTCACCAGACAGGCCACCCAGCTCACATTCCCAAATTGTCCCCAGAAACCCCAATCCTGCGCTTCCTTTGCTTTTCCTGGTAACAGGGATCCTCTAAAGTGCTGTGCAATTATCTCTGTGACTTCCTGTCTGCTCCCTGCCTTATAAAACCTACTCCACCTAGAGCAATGGTGTTCGTTTTGTCGGTTAACTTATTTCGAACGGATTTCCATGATGCCTGCACCTAGTAGGTGCTCAACAGCCCTTTGATGATAACTGCAGGGGACGGGAGTCTACCCTGAGTCACCATCTGCTGGCCTCACCTTCAGTCACCTGAGCATGCAGCGATGACACAGACCTAGGCCAACCTGCCTTCAGTGACTGGAACCCAGGGCTCCACAGCTCAGAGGGGACCTGTGAGAACTCAGGAATCAGCCAGGGCCCAGCACAGCAGCAGCCAAAGCGATCGGCCCCGCCCCCGGCAGACGAACGCGGGAAACTACATGTCCCAGAAGGCATTGGTCCTCACCTGGACCACATTTCCCAGAAGAACTAGCGGCCGCGCGACCCCGCTCCTCGTGTGTTTTCACGGGGCCAAGCGCTGGTCCTGGCGCGGCTTCGTGGCCCTACGTCCCGCTGGCGAAGTACGAAGCTATGCGGCTGTCGGGTGGCACGGTCCGGAGCCTCGCGTTTGCGGATCGCGGCGGCGGAGCCCGGGGAGGTGAGCTGTGGAGGGGCGGGGATTGCGGGAGGCGGGCGCGGGCCTCGGGAGGATGCGGGCGGGGAAGCGGCCGGGACCAGCTGAGAGGCGTTTGCAGGCGCGGTGGCCCCGCGGGCTCTCGACTGCCCCGCCGGCCGTCCGCGACGCCGCCTGGACGTGTGCGGTCGGCGCTCGGTCCCGGTTCGCCCCAGCGCAGCCTCCCGCCTCCTGAGCTCCGTGATGCAGGCTTCGAGCGACCGCGGTCACGGATGGGAAACTCTGGTCCCCGTGGAGCAAGGCGCGGCATGGTGGCGGGAGTGAGGTGCTGGGCCTTCTACGCAGAGCCAGGACCAGAATCAGGTCTTTCTTTTGTGCAGCCGGAGCCCGTCGGGCATGGGGAAGCCATTTGCCATTGAGGGTTTTTCTAAACACTGGAAATTGATTGCTTTGCGAAAAAGTCAGAGAAATTGGGTGGTTAAGGCTTGAGACCGAGAAAAACTGTCGCAGGGAATGGCACCAGTGAGTCTAGAGCCGCTGCTCGGGGTGCGGAGTTGGAGTCCTGTGACAGCTCATTGACTGTGCTAATGGGGACAGGCGGCCCCACTCTGCTGTCAGTTTCCTGAGCTATAAAGTGGGGGCGCCCAGCTGTGTAAGGTGGTGCCTGGCATGGAGTGAGGCTCTGTAATGGAGTTCAGGGTCTCCTCCTTCTGATGCTGCTGGAGATTCCCTGAGCCAAGAAGAGGGGGTCCTGGGCCAGCATTAGTCCAACCCTTCCCTGGTCCTGTCCACTCCCAGCTCCTTCTGACCCCCTCTCTGAAGGTCCTTGGGGTCTCTGGTGGTGAAAAGGATTTGACAGCTGCTGATTCTGAGGGGATGAAAGTAGAACAGGATTCTTTTTTAAAAAATTTCATTTTAGGGCTAAATTTTAATAGAATGTGAGTTTGAACTCACATTTAAAACAAAACCTTAGAATTACTCATTGGTTTAAAATGGTTCAATGGAAAAATTAATCTGTAACAAAACTTGGCATAGAGTGCAAAGGATCCACTGTTTTTGAGCAAAGTGAATAAAGATTCGAAGGGGCAGGACCAAGGAGAAGGGTCCTTTTACAACATTTACAACAACAGGCATTTTCTCTTTTTGACAGGTGATGGGCAGAGAACTGCTCAGATAGCTTTGTCAAACACTGTGTTGAGACCTCACTGTGTGAGAGCAGAGCACTGCAGATAGTTTACAGCACCAGTCTCCTTAGCCATGGCTAACCCCTGCAGGTAGGTGATGGGAGTCAGCTTCTTCTCCTTCATTCAGCTTCTCCATGGTGTCTTTATCATCTCTGAGATCAAGTTTCATTCCCACTGGGATGATGGGAGTGTGGGGACAATGGTGTCAAACTTTGGGATACCATTTTGCAGGGACATTTTCAAATGATGCAGGATTCCAGGGAAAAGCAAATTAAGGATACATCTGTTTACGGATAGGAGAGGGGGCGTAGTCTGTTGTAGTCTTCTTGTCCAACTGTATCCAACAGGTTTTCCATCTGCCATAACATTGGCAGAATAGTTGTCAAAGATGGTAGGAATGTATTCTCCAGGAAATATATTGGTGGTATAACTGATCAGTGGGCATGTTTTACCTACAGCTCTGTCTTCCATCACCACACACGTAATGGCCTGCATCTGGGCTGCTGATGGCTACAGCGGGTGGTGGCCAGGCACAGAGTCAGAAGTGGCAGGCATGGGAAACTGAGGGCAAGTGCTGGCTGCAGGGCATGGGATACTGGGACCACTGTCTGCACCATGTAGCCCTCCGAGGGCTGGAAGCCAAAGCCCAGCTGCAGCCACTGCCCAAAGCTGAGAAAAACTGGGAACAGGATTCTTCATGGTCATTTTTTCTTTTCTCACATCCAGCCTCTGGAAGGACACTGCACCCAGCCTTGGGGGAAGAGCTCAGATAGAAGCATGGGTCCAGAGCAAAGGGAAGCACAGTCTTAGGTGAGCTTATTGCCATCTTGGTTCTTAGTAATGGAGAAGGAGTTTTTCCCACCTTTGTAGAAGCTCTCTACCCAATACAACCTTCACCAGGATTTGGAGGCCATCTTTTTATGTAGGAGGAGTTGGTCCACCCTCATGGGTGGGGGATTCTGTAGGGGATACTCACTCCCATGTCTAGTGTTCACTTCTGTTCACTAATCTCAATCTGCTGTGTCATTACTAATTTGACGTGTAAGATGCCAGGTGTCTTTTCATCACTGGACAAACATGCACACCTGGGAAAATTCTGCTCTGGCCTGCCACCTTCACTCATCCATGTCTCTCCCTGCCCCTGGCAAGAATGCTTTTCTTTTTCTCATTCCTCCTGAGCATCCTTGTGATGCCTCCCCCAGGTTTCGCAGCCCTGAGTGTTTAGTTTTTTCTCCACTTCACTTATGGATCATATGCTTTGCCTCTACCACTCTTATGAAAAGTGGTTTTGACCTGCCATTTTCATCTTTATGTTGGGGGGCTGGGTGGCTCCCTTATCCAGGTGAGACGGTGAGTAGGCCTAGGATAGCAGGGGACCCAATAAGAGAGATCTCTTATTCCATGAGCAAAGAGAAGACACTTCAAGGAGGCCCAGGAGGGTTTCGTGAGCTGTCAGTGGCAGAGAAGCAGTGCACCCAGTGGTCAGGAACTCTCAAGTCAGACAGATGGTTTTAACCCCTGTCCTCTGTTGCTGTTTGTGTTCTTTGGGCAAATAACTCCACTTCTTTGTGTCAGCTTCCTCACCTATAAAATCATTGCCTACCTCCTAGGGTAGATGACAGAATGACATGAGTTAGTGCATGGAAAGTGTTTTGCTCAGGTTCAGGTACATAGCCACCATTCAGCATATGGTTGAAGGATACTATGCTAATAATATTAATTTCATAGAAACTGCTAAGGGCTGGAGGTGGCTTAGTGGTAGAGTGCTTGCCTAGCATGTACAAGGCACTGGGTTTGAACCCCAGCATGGCAAAAAAAACCCCAAAAACCAACCACCACCACTACCAACACCACCACCAAAAAACACACCATCTACAAACTGCTGTACAGTGTTTCTGGGACCCAGCACATACTTATCCTTTTTTCTACTCATCTTCATCTAACTCTGACTCTGAATGTTTAGTGAGCCTCTAGCATGATACAGAATGCACTGAGGATTTTGTATTCATTATTTCTCATTCTCGTAACAGCATGGCAGTTGTCCCCACTATAGTTGGGTCTGAAATGTTCCTCCAAAGCCCATGTATTAAAGGCTTGGTCGTTAGCCCATGGCACTATAGGGACTTGGAGGGGTCAAGTGGGAGGAAGTTAGGTTATTGGGGAGTATGTCCTTGAAGAGGATATTGGCCTCATCCTCTTCTCTTTAGCTTCCCAGCCTTTGAGGTATATATGCTTCCTCTGCTTCACACTCCCACTATGATGTTCTACCTGACCATAGGCCCAAAAGCAGCAGGGCCAACCAATCATGAGCTGAAACCTCCAAAACTATGAGCCAAAAGAATCCTTTTCTCTTCATAAGATTATTTCAGGTATCTGTTAAGAGTAATTAAAAGCTGATTACCACATCCTTGTTCTATATACATACGAGGAAACCAAGACTTCTCAGAAGCCAAGTTCATACTCAGGTGCATTTGTCCTTCAATCCATGCTTATATCATTTAGCTACTCCTCTGATACATCTTTCAGAGCATGGACAGACCAGGCACATGTTCTCAAGGCATGTTAGCAAAGCAGTATTATCTTTGGACGCAGAAGTGTGGTGAGGTTTGATCCTCTGACCTATAGCCAGTATCTACCCTTGCATGTTTGGGCTGTGTGTTTGCTTTGAGGCTTTCCCATTCCATTTAACAGAGCCAAGTTGCTCTCCTGCCCAGACCCTTCATCTCCCTATCTGTGTCTGCTGTCCATGTGTCAGTACTGTGCAGCCTGGAGTATAAAATTCAGTGATGGGAAGTTTAAGACTAGAGAGAGAGAACAGAGCCAAGGCAGGGTCAAGGTTAGAAAACTTCAGTTCCGGTCTGCAGCTGCCATGTAAAGCATGTGAGCTGGGGTCCTGGCTGCCCTTGTTCCTGTTCCTTGTCTCTACAATGAAGACTGAATGAGGGGTGGTTTATATTCCTTCCTGTCCAGCACCTTGAGCTGGACACCTTGAGCCCAGAGTCTCTGAGCTATATTCCCAGCCCCTACACAGCTATTGTTCATCATTCAAATTATTTCATGCATTTTCGTTGTCTTCCAATTGTAGCGTAAATTCTTTGAGATCATTTCTTGCATTCCCTTTATGTGCCAATAAGTTAACTTTCTTATCACACATGTATTGCATGCTCATGGTAAAAATTTCAGAGGATAGAAACGTACATGTGAATGGAAAAGTAAATTCAGTTTCTCCCACTATAGTCTCACAGCACTCTTTTGGCACCAGGAGTGTGGGTGAATGCCCCTGATGGTGTCCTGTAACTGAAGTCTATTCAGTTCAGGTAGACACTGTCTACCTGAGTCCATATCAGATCTCACAGACTGAGGGCACAGCTCCACAAGACTGCCCTCACTTCAGACACCAGTTGCAAGTCCAGGCCGCCAAAACTGATCAACTGGCTGTGAGTCAGGATTTCCACAGCCACCTCTGAGAGAAGAGCAGGAAAGAAAAGGGCTAGGTTTCAATATCTCTCTCAAGGGCACACCCCTAACTTCCTTGCAATACGTCCCACCTTCTAAAGATTCCACTACCATCCAGGCCCAGGAGTGCCATAGACTGGGGACCAACACTAATACACAGAATTTTGGGGGACATTCCAGATCCAAACTATACAGCTGTTCATATTTTATGCTGCTCAGTGTGTATTTGTCACTGGTTCATTAAACAAATGACCTGGACCCTTGAGCACCTTGAATGGCATGGACAACATTTCATGGTAGCCTCTCCCCCTCCCTCACTGTGGAAGGCTGGTTCTCAGAGCCTCATGCTTGCTTGGCAGGTACTCTAGCACTTGAGCCACTTCACTGGCGAGGCTGGTTCTGAGTGAGCTGGAATGGCTTGTCTTTGTAGGTGTCAGTGGTATTTGAGGACATGGCTGCATACTTTACTTGGAAAGAGTGGAGAAAGCTGGATCCTTCTCAGAGAGGCTTTTTCTGGGAGGTGATGCAGGAGAACTATAGTTACTTTGCTGGAGTGGGTAAGGAAGTTCCTGTGTAGAGACAGAATTCAGAAATGGGAGCTCTCAGCACCTTCTTCACTGAATCAAAGCTGTGGGTCATCATAAGAGTTTAACTGAGTGTTGCCTTAGGATTATATTGATCAATCTCTAAACAAATTTTGAAAGCATACAGCTTATAGGCATGGAATTTCTTTGTGTACAGAAATGGAGGAGGTGGTATTGGTAGTCATCCCATTCCTCTATATGATTACACATTAGAAGTTTGTTCATGGTTCAGATATCATTTCCTATTCCAGCAATTGTTCTGTGGTTTGTTTGTTCCTCTCTCCACAGAGGGCTGCATTCAGCCTCTGGACTTACCTTTCCCACTTGTCTTTTCAAGAAGTTAGCAAACTTTTTGATAAAGAGCCAGGTAGTAAGTATTTTAGGCTTTGCAGAGCACATGTGATCTCTGTAACTTATTTCTCTTAGTCTTTCTGATTTTTAAATATTTTGTTTGTTGGTCTATGAGCTGGTCTCTCATTTACTAAACCAAAAGTAATCTCTTTTTTGCAGTAAGAAGACCCCTTGAAGGCAGAGAAGAAAAGTAGTGGAGACTCTGCTTTTGGTGAAGGAGTGGGTATACCGGTCTAGTTAATAACAGTGTGCCGCTTCGAGTGTTGGTAGAGAAACTTCTTCAAATTGTCAGTCTTCAAGAAGGTATGGTGGCACATGCCTGTAATCCCAGTTACACAGGAGGTGAAGGCAGAAGGATTATGAGTTTGAGGCCAGCCTTGGCAAAAGTTATCAAGACTCTATCTCAAACAAAAGGGCTGGGAACATGGCTGTGTGGTATAGCACTTGCCTAGATAGAAAGTGTGAGGCTCTGGATTCAATCCCCAAGTACTGCAAAAAAAAAGGTATTGAGGAAGGGAAAGTCTAGGCTTCTAGAAATGAGTTTCTCATTCTTTCTTAATCACTTCTCACATACATCTCTCAGGATCTGTTTTCTTATTTTTTCCTGTTATTTCCAAGGAGGGCTCCATTTTCATGAATTCATTCAAGAAGCCTGCCGTATTTAAGGGATCCCAAGACATTCATTCTGACTGAAGCTCAGGGTATGTATAGGAAAAGGAGACCAGAAAGGAGATGAGATTGGAAGGGTATGTAAAGGCCACGTTGTAAGTGGTTCAGTGCTAGTCTAAGAGATTTGGACTGTCACATGGATGACTGGAGATAGCTGAGGAATTTAAATAGAGCATTATATAATCCTTAATAGTTTAGAAAAGCAAATCTCCTTTTGGTGGTAGGATTTTATTACATTTATTGACTTCTTGGGAAGGTGGTGGTGGTGGTGGTGTTAGAGATTGAATCCAGGGCCTTACTCATGTTAGGTAAGTGCCCTACCACTAAGCTACACCCCCAGCCTCTTAATGATTTTTGATAGGAAGACTTTGGACGTTTTAATATATATGTTCAGCTTTAAATACTACTTAACTCTGTAACAGTTCTTTTGTGAGAACTAAGTAGGCTTCTTAACATAATATCAAAAACTTTCTAATACTTTTATTCATCACTGTTTTAGAATGTGATCTATCCCTTGGGACGCTGAGACAGGAGGATCTCGAGTTCTAAGCCAGCCTGGACAACATAAGGAGACTCTGTCTTATTAAAAAGAGAATGTTTATCCTGTTTCCATTTCTATCTATACCAAAAGCATATTGTAAATGTACTGTCTGGGTTTTATAATGGGAGTGTTTAATGTGAATATAAATACTTCTTTAAAAGGCAAATTTTAATGTGAATGATCCTTGGAGGAAACCAATGCATTTCAGTTACGTAAATTTTTTGAATGGCAATTTGAATTCTTTTTACCCATAAGTTTTTTTTTTTCTCTGAAATTAAAATGTTCCAATAGTACTTAGAAGGGATAGATTAATGTTTGCTTTTTCAAAGTGATGATAGTTGTCTTGAAAAGCTTGGTTGTTTTTTCAACAGTTGCCTGTGTTTACCTCCAGTACAACTGTGAGATACCGCTCATGCAGGACCTACATCAACGCTTTTGTCAGCTTTCTTGACCAAAGTGGGTGGAAGTATAACTTGTGTTACCAAGTCAATAATGATAATGGGTTTTTGAAAGGTTTTACAGTTTCTGCTTGCATTGCCAGGAAATCAGACAATAAAAATGTGAAGTGAGAAAAAGAACCTGTAATCCCAGTTATTGGCAGACTGAGGCAGGAGGGTTGTGATAGCATAGTGAGACCCCATCTCAGAAGGAAGAGTAGCCCTCTTACTTATGTGCATATTTGTATAATCATTTCCCCCACTTAGAAAGCTACTGGTAACTTTTTTCTATGCATTTATGCTTATAAAGAAATAGTTACATATGTTTTAAGCAAAAAATATGATAATATCTTGACCACTTTTTTACATTTATTAAATTGGGAGTATAATATGGCATATTTCATGGTTTATTTAAGCTAGTAATTTTAGAAATACTTTATTTAGAACTTGTCCTAGGCTTTTTCTCTAGGATAAAGGAAAACAGGTACAAAGATAGCTGTGTAATTCACTCACTGCTGTGGGCAGGGAGGTGGGCAGTGTTGGGAAGTCAGTTGAATGTGGTTTTTCTCAGTAGTTGAAGAGGAAATCTTTCTCTGTAACTATTTTGTAGTCCATGTTTGAAGAAAATCATTTAATGAGCAACATTTTGAGATTAGAGAAGAAAATGGGTACATCAGTATTCACACTGAAAACTCTGTTTATAGGAAATTTCATTGAGTTGAGAAATAGAGGAATAGAAGAGATTTCTAAAAACCATGTAATCCATCACTCAGCTGCCCTATGAGGCAGGAGGATCTTAAAGTTCAAGGCCAGTCTGGGCTATATAGAAAGACCCTGTCTCAAAAAATAATTATGCCTATTGTTTAGCCCTTTATATTTTAGACAGCACTTACATTTTGTATCATCACGAATAACACTAAGAGGCCAGCTAGGGAATGTTGTTAATCTCATTTGACAGATGTGAAGACAAATGTAGTTTGAGTGACTCAACAAACACCACTAAGTAAGGGTAATACTTGTAAAACCCAGGCCTGTTGATATAGTTACTCTTTTACTGTGTCATCACTGCTTCCAGGGAAAGGGGAATATGAAAATAAGACTTAGTGCCAACCTTTAAGAGCTTAGTATGTTAGTGTATTTTTCTGGCATAGTCTTTAGGCAGTTGGATCCTGTTGCTGTGGAACTTTTGAGGGCTCAGTCTCTTTCATCACAGAGTTGCAAAGGAGACAACATTTTGTGGCTCTTAAGTGGTTGGTAGTACTTTTGTGTAGTAGAGCCATCTCCCTGTTGAATTAAAAGCAAAAGAGCATAAGCATCTGTTCTTTTGAAATGGCCTTCTTGAGTTCCTTTAATCTTGAAGCTTTTAATGTCTTGCCTATTACAGATTGAGGTACTTGCCTATTACAAAGGTATTTGCTCCTTGCTGGCTTACTTCTTTTTTAAAATTTTTATTAATTTTTTTTGGTGATACTGGGGTTTGAACTCAGGGCCTCATACTTGCTACACGGATGCTCTACCACTTTAGCCATCCCCCCAGCCCTCTGAGTTACCTCTTGAGCTTTAGGTTTTATGAATTTGGCAAGGGGTACATGCAAAAATACACAAAAGTTATTATACTGTATTCCTCATTCTGATTGTGGTTATTTGATGCTTTTTACTGAATTGAAAGCAAATCTTTTTTAAAGGAGTTTATAAAATACAGTCTCACATTTTTATGGAATTTGACTGAAATGTGTTAGTTAAGTTAAATACCAGCTGAGGCTACTTGATTTGTCACTTTCAGGAGAAGCTTTCCTATGTTTAGAAATATAATATTCATATAGAAAAGTCAATAAAACACAAATATGTAGGTTATCAAATAATTATAAAGAAACACCTTTGTTTGTAGTTCATAGGTCAAGAAATTGAACCTTGCCAGCTCTGCCAGGAACTCTTCTCAGCACATTCCCTCCCTTTCCTGTCCTGGATAAAGAACTCTTGAGTCACAACGCTCTTTTTATTACGCGTCGGTAATGGTAATGGTAATGGTTACCTCCACTCAGTCTATAAATAACGCTCTTTTTATGGTTTCTCTGTGGATCCAGCAAGAAACGTTAAATTCAATCTCGTTAAATGTATTTAGTGAGTTTTTTTTTCATTCAGTTAGGACCACCACAACCTCCAGTGTACCTCTTTCTGCTTGATGTGTCTAACGATGCAGTTGAAATTGGATACTTGAATTCAGTTTGGTAGAGTTTGTTAGACAATCTGGATTTATAAGTGTCTCAATTCAGCTTAAATCTGAGACTAACAGTTTTTGCAAAATGAATAACTCGTTTAAAAATACAAACAAAGCTATGGAATTATGTTCTGAAAGTCCACTTAAATCAGTGAACTCAGGTCCCATTTTTTCTAAGAAACATTTACAAACCTGTTGTAAATAGGAAAAATGAACCTCCAGCTTATCTCCTAATTTCATCATCATCAGCATTCTGCTAGGTTTTTTGTTTGTTTTTTTGGTGGGACTGAGATTTGAGAGGGCAAAGCCGGTGCTCAACCATTTGAGCCACACCTCCATGGTTACTTTGGAGATGGGGTATTGAGAGCTATTTACCTGGGCTAGCCTCAACCTGTGATCCTCCCAATCTCAGCCTCCCAAGTATCTAGGATTATAGGTGTGAGCCACTGGTACCCTGAATTCTGCTGTTTTTGCTTCATCTCACCGGCTCCCCTTTACACACACTTACCCCCTCTTGAGTATTTTAAAACAAATCTTAGCCATCATATCACTTTACCTATAAATACTTCAAGACCTTTAACCCCAACTTCAACCCTAACTTTTGCTACTAAGCAAAAATAGCAATAATTCCATTATATTTAATACCTAGTTCATTTCTTTTCTTACTTGTCTCAAATAATCTTTTTACCATAAGCTTGTTGAAATAAAATTTCAAATAACGTGTACACATGGCATTTGGTTATTCTATCTCTTAAGTCTGTTAAAATAACTATATTTTAAATGTTGCATAGACTTTTAGTGTAACCCATGAAAACTGTGTGACCTTTCAATTTAAGGAAGTGCAGTGCTCTTGTATGATGTGGAGGAATGTGTAGACCAAATCTCATCACAAATGGAGTGACTCCCTCACCTCTGGGAAAAGACAGCCTCATTCCTGCCATCACTTGTATTTCTCATGTTGTAGATTGTGCATGGGGGTTATGTGTTGATGAACTAGCCTATGGATTTAACTGAGCGTGATCAATACGATGAAAAGCTAAGTTTCTTTTTGACTATGGTTTTGTGTTTTTCAGAACAGAAGCATTTGGTCCTCTTTTTTTCTTAAGAGAAATGCTTAAACAATATAAAGAGGCTTGTGCATTTAAAAAAAATTACATTTTAGAGCTAGTATATGCTAATTTTTGGGAGCATTCTTTTTTTCCCCCCATGAATTGGGGATTGAACTCAGGGTCTTGCACCTGCCAGACAAGTGCTCTTCCATTGAGCTACATCCCCAGTTTCTGAAGCATTGTTTGGAAGAAACACTTCAAATTGCCGGCAAAGTTTTATATGTATTTCTAGTATTTTTAAATGCTATATCCTAAGTAATTACATATAACTTTATATTATAAAGGAGTAGTAGTTTTTTGAATTTCTGTATTGTTGCTTTCTTTAGACTATTTAGCTTAACTAGTGTTTCATGGATATGTTTTCACGGTAGGGGAACATTGGCTGGTTTAAAGAGTTGTTTATGTTGGGCCACTTCCTGTAATACTGAATTACATGTTTGCTTATAAGCTCAGCAGATATTTCATGTGCATATATACAGGAAAACTTGACAAAACACCCTTCTGAATTTATTTAGGCTTCCTGGCCACACTAGAACAAAAGTTGGCTTTATAACATTTGACAGCAGAATTCATTTCTACAGTCTTCAAGAAGGTCTCTCCCAACCACAGATGCTAATAGTTTCAGACATTGAAGGTATGTGTTTCACTCTTACATTTATTGATCTGCCTTAGGAATTTTCTATTTTAGAAATAGTTCATGACCATTTGCCAAATTAGCAGTGTATGGTATGAGTCTATGAAGGAAAATCTTGACTACAAAGTCATTAGTTTGTTGGAGTTGTAAGAGTCCTTCAACCCAATCTCTGTTTTGGAAAAGAGGTAACAGGTTTGGAGGTAAAGTGAATTCTGAATAACAAAACAAAATCGAGCTAATGTTAGAATTTGGATTAAATTTAGAATCTCTTTCCTGTTCTTCCCATTCGTTCATTCACTCAAAAATTATTTGAGGGCTGTCGATGTAGAATGCTTGATTAACATGCAGAAGACTCTGTGTTTAGCTGGGAACCAGTGGCTCACATCTTTAATCCTAGCTACTTGGGAGGCTAGCCCAGGCAAATAGTTTGCCAGACCACATTTCAACCAGTAGCTGGACTCAGTGGTGCTCACCTGTCCTCCCAAGGATAGGGGGAACACTAAATAGGATGATTGTGGTCCAGACCACCCTGGGCAAAAAAATCGAGACTCTATGGAGTACATAATGATATGCACCGAAAGCTACCAAATAATGGGGGTCAGGAAGGGTTTGTACGGGAGAGTAACAGAGTGAATTGAACTGACCAAAGTAAAGTATATTCATAGCTGGGATACACTGAAACATTGATTGTGGAATTAATAATGAAAGACAAGACTGTAAAATAGGTACAGTGTGTGTGTGGGGTACTTGTGGGAAGGGGGAGAGTGAACAGGAGATGAAGATGAAAGAACTAGAAAAATGAAACCTCTTGTAATTGCTTTAAGTGTGATGGGGAGGAGAGTGGGAGGGAGATGGAGTGGGTGATCTAATCTGTGTACAGTGTAAAGCTATTCAGAATCGTTACAACAGATGCCCCCCTTGTATAATGAATATATGCTAATAAAAATGAAAAGACAACAACAACAACAATAATAACAAAGATCAAGACGCTATTTCCAACGTAAACAGAGCAAAATGTGCTGGTGGCATTTCTCAAGAGGTAGAGCATCTCTTTCACAAGTGCAAAGCCCTGAATTCAAACACCAGTACAACTGGTGGGGAATGAATTGGTAGGTTCATTCCCCAGTGCCACAGCAGTAAAGATAGCAACATAAGCATTTGAGGGTACACATGTGGACTCAAAATTTGTATAGTGAGCGTAGAAATAAACCTACTCTATGTGGCCAGTTTTTTTTTTTCTTTTTTCCTTTTTCTACACTCCTACCCCACATTGGTCAATTGATTTTTGACAGTGGTGCCAAGACTATTCATGGGACAAAAGATAGACTTTTCAGCAAATGGTTATGGGAAAACTAGACATGCAAAAGAGTGAAGTTGGATGCATACCTTATACCATTTAATGGAAATAAAAATGGATTAAAGACTGAACTTAAGAGCTAAAAGTATAAAAACGGGAAAAATTACATGACATCCTAGAGAACATCAAAAACACAGGTAGTAGAGGAGAAAAACAAATAGATTTCATCAATTTTAAAAACTTGATTGGATGTAATGATACCTGCCTGTAAGTATCAGAGGGAGGAGGATCATGAGTTCAAGGCCAGCTGGGCAAAGTTAGACCTATTTCAAAGCCAAACTCAAATAGTTGGGCCTGTATTCAAGTTCATATGGTCCAATGCTTTCCTAGCATGTATGAAGCCCTGGGTTCTATCCCAGTACCTAAAAGCAAATAAAACGTTTTTGGCTAGAGATGTAGCTCCGCAATAAGGGCGTGCCTAGCATGCACAAAGCCTTGGGGTCCAGCCCAGTACTACAAAGGAAAAACAGAACAGCTTTTGTTCATCTTAGGACACTACCCGGAGAGTGAAAAATCAGCCCACAGAATGGGAGAAAATATTTACAAATTATATACCTGATAAGGAATTTAATCTGCATAAAAAACTATGCCTCAAAAATAATAAAACAACAACAACATGATTTAAAAATGGGCATAGAATTGGACTAGACATTTTTCCATAAAAGATATACAAATGGACAATAGGACATTAAAAAATATTCAGCATCTTTAATCATTAGGGAAATGTGAGTCAAAATGACAATGATAGCTGGGGATGTAGCTCAGTGGTAGAGTGCTTGCTTTGCATGTTCAAGGCTTTGGGCTCAATCCTAAGTACCAAAAACAAAAGAAAACAAAAATCCAAAAATCACAATAAGTTAACTACTTCACATCCATTAGGAGAATGGCTAGTTTTTTAAAAATGGAAAGTAATAATTGTTGGCAGGACGTGGCAACAGTGTAACCTCTCAGCATTGATGGTGGGAGTGGAAAATGGTACAACTGCTGTGGAAAACAGTGGTAGTTCCTCAGAGTTATTGTGAAATTAGCATATGATTTCATAGTTCCACTTCTCATTTTATACTTGAAAGAATTAGAGCAGAGACTCAGACAAATCATTCTACATCATTATTAGATTGTTGCTAGACAGCACATTATTATTTTTTTTTCATTTTTCTTTTATTATTCATATGTGCATACAAGGCTTGGTTCATTTCTCCCCCCTGCCCCCACCCCCTCCCTTACCACCCACTCCGCCCCCTCCCTCTCCCCCCCTCCAATACCCAGCAGAAACTATTTTGCCCTTATTTCTAATTTTGTTGTAGAGAGAGTATAGGCAATAATAGGAAGGAACAAGGGTTTTTGCTGGTTGAGATAAGGATAGCTATACAGGGCATTGACTCACATTGATTTCCTGTGCGTGGGTGTTACCTTCTAGGTTAATTCTTTTTGATCTAACCTTTTCTCTAGTTCCTGGTCCCCTTTTCCTATTGGCCTCAGTTGCTTTAAGGTATCTGCTTTAGTTTCTCTGCGTTAAGGACAACAAATGCTAGCTAATTTTTTAGGTGTCTTACCTATCCTCACCCCTCCCTTGTGTGCTCTCGCTTTTATCATGTGCTCATAGTCCAATCCCTTGTTGTGTTTGCCTTGATCTAATGTCCACATATGAGGGAGACATACGATTTTTGGTCTTTTGGGCCAGGCTAACCTCACTCAGAATGATGTTCTCCAATTCCATCCATTTACCAGCGAATGATAACATTTCGTTCTTCATGGCTGCATAAAATTCCATTGTGTATAGATACCACATTTTCTTAATCCATTCGTCAGTGGTGGGCATCTTGGCTGTTTCCATAACTTGGCTATTGTGAATAGTGCCGCAATAAACATGGATGTGCAGGTGCCTCTGGAGTAACAGTCTTTTGGGTATATCCCCAAGAGTGGTATTGCTGGATCAAATGGTAGATCGATGTCCAGCTTTTTAAGTAGCCTCCAAATTTTTTTCCAGAGTGGTTGTACTAGTCTACATTCCCACCAACAGTGTAAGAGGGTTCCTTTTTCCCCATCCTCGCCAACACCTGTTGTTGTGGTGTTGCTGATGATGGCTATTCTAACGGGTGAGGTGGAATCTTAGCGTGGTTTTAATTTGCATTTCCTTTATTGCTAGAGATGGTGAGCATTTTTTCATGTGTTTTCTGGCCATTTGAATTTCTTCTTTTGAGAAAGTTCTGTTTAGTTCACGTGCCCATTTCTTTATTGGTTCATTAGTTTTGGAGAATTTAGTTTTTTAAGTTCCCTGTATATTCTGGTTATCAGGCCTTTGTCTGATGTATAGTTGGCAAATATTTTCTCCCACTCTGTGGGTGTTCTCTTCAGTTTAGAGACCATTTCTTTTGATGAACAGAAGCTTTTTAGTTTTATGAGGTCCCATTTATCTATGCTATCTCTTAGTTGCTGTGCTGCTGGGGTTTCATTGAGAAAGTTCTTACCTATACCTACTAACTCCAGAGTATTTCCTACTCTTTCTTGTATCAGCTTAAGAGTTTGGGGTCTGATATTAAGATCCTTGATCCATTTTGAGTTAATCTTGGTATAGGGTGATATACATGGATCTAGTTTCAGTTTTTTGCAGACTGCTAACCAGTTTTCCCAGCAGTTTTTGTTGAAGAGGCTGCTATTTCTCCATCATATATTTTTAGCTCCTTTGTCAAAGATAAGTTGCTTATAGTTGTGTGGCTTCATATCTGGATCCTCTATTCTGTTCCACTGGTCTTCATGTCTGTTTTTGTGCCACAGAACTGTACTCTTTATGTATATGTACTTTATGTTATATGAATTATATCTTGATAAATCTGTTAAAACATTTTGTTTTTATTTGTTTATTATTTGTTTGTTTTCTGAAACAGGGTCTTGCTGGGTGGCCCAGGTTTGTCTAGAATTTATGATCTACCTGCCTCTGCCTCCTGAGTGCAAAGGCAGGTATGTATGTATCACCATGCCTGGCTATAAAATAGAAAAAAGAAAGCCTGAAGCATTGAAACTTTCAAATCATTTATTGGTATTATTTTTATAAGCTTCTTAATAATTGTTATTTTTTGTAAAAAGTGATTTTCCTTTTAATTCACCATCTGTGTTCTCTTCATATTTTGTTTCCATCTAAGAAAGAAATTTAATTTAATTCCTGGGGAAGAACATATTAAAGGCATATTTTGAAATGGTCATTAAGTAAAGTTTTGCTTCTTTCCTTGACATTTCTAGGATATATAGCATTTTATATCTACTCTTACTTTAATTTCACTACACGAACCATTTCTTTCTCTTTTTTTAATTTCTTTTATTCATATGTGCATACAATGTTTGGGTCATTTCTCCCCCCTTCCCCCCTCCCCTCCCTTTCCCCCTACCCTCTCTCTCTCCCCCCCAACCCTCTCGCTACCAGGCAGAAACTGTTTTGCCCTTACCTATAATTTTGTTGAAGAGCGAGTATAAGCAATAATAGGAAGGACCAAGGTTTTTGCTAGTTGAGATAAGGATAGCTATACAGGGAGTTGACTTGCATTGCTTTCCTGTGTATGTGTGTTACCTTCTAAATTAGTTCTTCTCGAACTAACCTTTTATCTAGAGAACATACGATTTTTGGTCTTCTGGGCCTGGCTAACCTCACTCAGGATGATGATGAATCATTTCTTGAGTTCAACCTTGTGCCAATCATTTTTGATTCTATTGCAGCAAGGTTTTTATAGCAGAGTAGAAGATAAGCCTCTTCTGGAAGGGAGACTGCCTGAAGACCTGTCCTGCCAGCCTGCCTCTAGGGAGGTGGGAGGTTTGCTAAGAGATGCTGCTGGTTACTGTGGGGAAGCACATTAGCCAGGTGGTTCTCAGTGCCCTCTTCTTTTCTGATTCACAGAGTGTCATTGGGGTCAGTTCAGAAGAATTACTACCTTCCTGGAAATTACCATGACAAAATACAATGAGAGGTGAACAGAATGTTTCTGAAGGGGGATGTTGTACATGCATATATGCCATAGGGGTGACATTTTCACTAGCAAGTCTATGAGCTCTGCTCTTGGCAGTGGTCATTGTGCCATAG